GTCAGATATACATATGCATGACGATGAGAAGCCAAGCCTGGTGTAATTAACAAGTAGTGTGTGATAAATGCTGTACCTTGCAAAACTACCGTTTGCCTTTTGTTTTTTGTTCACCTTCAGACTCAGCTACCAGCATGACTGAAAAACAGATGAAGTTTGACCAGAAGTCAGAGGATATGCAGGACAGTGTTGATGCACATATAGCTTGTTCTTGTGAGAATGAAGACTGCAGTACTTGAAGCTGTTCCTTGTAGCTCAGAAGAAAACAGAAACATTTTACTCTTTTTATTGTGTGATATAAGAAGACTCATCTTCAGCAATGACAGAGATACTAAATTAGGTGCCTAAAGTCCTGTTAAATCTTCCTACGTAATTTAAAATATTAAACCTTATTATTGTAGAAACAGTTCTGCCCATAAGTATCTGATTTCATAATAAATCCATGCATGGAAAAATTAATGAAGCTTCTTTATTTCCGTGGTTATAGAAAGAAGCAGGCCTGTTTTTCTTCTCCTCCCTCATATTCTGTAGGCTTCCCAGGCCTGTGGCAGGGGCCAGGACGTGCGTGAGGCTGACAAGTGTCTGTTGGGCCGCGCTGGGGATGGGGTTGTGCGCTGTGGAGAGGCTGCAGTGACCGGCTGCCTCGTGTTTATCCCAGTGCCTTTTCACCCTTGTACTGGGATCCTGTGGAGCACGAGTGGGAACTGACCGCTTGTGTGTTATGCAGCATGTTCTGCAGCAGCAGAGCAGTCACCACATGGCAGGCCAGTGCTGTCATAGGGACATTAAGGTCAAAGGTATAAATCTGAATCTCATAATTGTAACAGGCCACTGGACAGGACTGCTCTAAGGGAGTCAAGATCATATCATATTTCTGATATACCATATACCAAGCTCTCTCAGAAGCACAGAAGTGCAAATCAGATGTACTCGAATATAACATAGTGAGTTTACCTAACTACACAACCTGTCAGAACAAGAGTCCAAAGCAGAGCCAAAGACCGTTGTTATTTCAGCGATGCCCCAGCCTCCATGCCCAGAATGAGTCCTCTCCAGCACATCCATGGGCAGGTGGGCTCTGCCTCCTGTCACCTGCGTGGGCGCGATGAGGGACACGATGGTCTGCCCTGAGCGCTGGAGATCGCGTGATTCCACCTGCTCCGGAAGATGCTTTCTGCCTGAGCCTAAGGCCATGCTTGCAGGCTAAGTATGCACAGCAAATGGGTTGGTTTTCAAGACAGCTGCTTTAGGAGACTGCAGGCATAACCGCTCACGTCACTGTGATTGTTTCCATTAAGGTAAAATAAGTCATGAGGAGTTTTGCACAAATTTTAATTGAATAGCATGTTATTTATCTGCCTTGATTCATCACTCTTCTCCCAGGTAATAGAGGCATGTTCAGCCATTTTTGTTACTAGTCTTAGATTTATTTTTATATTGAAATTTTCTAGTACAAAGCAGAATGTTTTCTTACCAAGTTGTTAAAAATGCAGGTCTCCAGTAAATTACTTAAGACTCCAAATCAGCTACTTATCCTTAAAATCAATGGAAACCAGTGAAGCCAAAATAACACTTAACTATGACCATGTGAGTGGAGGCATAACAATTAGTTAATTTTTGAGAACATTTGCGAAGGTTTTCTAAAAAAATGTGCCCTGTTGCTTGCCCTACAGTGTTGGTACCTTCAGTGATGCATGTATCTGCATGTCACAGTTTAGCAAGATATTGTCCTTAGTGCTAAAGTAATGCGAAAGAAAGACATGATGGTTGGCTATAGCTTGATTTATGTCATGGTGCTGTTCTATTACAAAGTGATGTGTAAGGAGTAGTAATGAGTACTTCAGCACTACCTGACAGTAAGAGTGAAGCTGGTGGGCTTGCTGGTGGTTTGAATGCCAAACGGAGCAGCACTGAAGGCGGAGATCCCAGGCAGAACCTGGGGCTTCACAGGGACCTCAGATTTGTGTCCCACCTCAGAGCCCCTTTATCAGAGTCCCTAGCTGAGCATGGCCAGGCCTGCAGAGTTCCTCCCTGGCCAGCCTGACACAGCTGGAACATTGCTTTTGGGAGACTCTTCCAGCTTCTGTTCTCTGACACATGGAATTTAATAATCATCTTATTGATGTTCTGGAGAGGGTAGGGAGAGACAAGCTGAGCAAGAGATGTGTGGGTGAATGTCACCTAAGGACCATAGAAGTGACACATGCATTGGCCATGTCTTGGGCCTTCTTGCTCCAAGCAACCACAAGCTTGCAGAGAGGAAGAGGCTGCTGGAGACCACTTTGTGATCGTCTCAGGTTTCCAGTCCCCTCTCTGTCATTATGGAGAGAGGCTTCAATGTAGTCCAGGGCCAGCCATCATCACAGACCTGGCAAAGTTAATAAAAGGCATCAGTTTAACAGAGAAAAACATGAAGGTGTGTATGGAGGTAGATGTAATGGACTCCACAGCCTAGGAATAGCATTTGCTGAAAGTCCATCAACAACCTCTCACTGTTGGGATAAAGGCTGATGCCATTTTTTTTTTTCTTAAATGGTCTGGGCTCAGGCAGAATGGCCTGTAGGACAGCTTGAGGTTGCTATTTTGCTCAGTTTGGCTTTGTTCAACGCTTGAGTCTCATGTCAGTCTGTAGACACTGCAGTCTGGCTCAACCAGAAAAAGCCCCAAAGAAAGCAGCACGACTACCCATGAGCATCAAGGAAAGGCTGCAGGAACTGGGTTAATGTAGAGTGGAAGAGATTAAAAGCCATGTGAAAATGTTCTTAAAGGGTTGCCAAGAAGCTTTAAAGAGGCCTGGACTAAACCTTTCCCCATATCCTTTGTGCATGGAAATCACAGTGCAAGGGGCTTAAATTACAACAACGGACACTAAGATCTGGAACAACTCAGCTGTAAGGTGAAGATGAAAGTAAAGCAGAGATGTTTTCAGAACGGATGAGAGAGCACTGGACTACTCTTTGTGGCCGCCTGAAGAAGATGTGAAACAGGTGTGAAAACAAGGGTAGGTTTTCACAGATGGGGTTTGGCACTGCTTGCAGCAGGAGCATAGACAATCCTGCCCTGTGGCAGAAGGATGATCCAGGTGAAAAGGACACATATCATTTGCTGCCTAAAGCTGTGGTGGTGAGGTGGGACGGGGGAAGGAGTCACAGACTCATTCTGCATAGCAATTTCAATTGAAGTAGTGTAAAGTTGAAAGGTGGCTATTTTGCATATGTAGTTTTTTTTTTTTTTTTTTAAGTATGCAGTTGCATATAGATATAGCACACTAGCTTTTGAAATGTATTTGTTGGTTGCGGGACACTAAGATCTGGAACAACCCAGCTGTAAGGTGAAGATGAAAGTAAGCAGAGATGTTTTCAGAATGGATGAGAAAGCACTGGACTACTCTTTGTGGCCGCCTGAAGAAGATGTGAAACAGGTGTGAAAACAAGGGTAGGTTTTCACAGATGGGGTTTGGCACTGCTTGCAGCAGGAGCATAGACAATCCTGCCCTGTGGCAGAAGGATGATCCAGGTGAAAAGGACACATATCATTTGCTGCCTAAAGCTGTGGTGGTGAGGTGGGACGGGGGAAGGAGTCACAGACTCATTCTGCATAGCAATTTCAATTGAAGTAGGGTCAAGTTGAAAGGTGGCTATTTTGCATATGTAGTTTTTTTTTTTTTTTTTTTAAGTATGCAGTTGCATATAGATATAGCACACTAGCTTTTGAAATGTATTTGTTGGTTGCCAGTAGATATCTGCTCAAAAAGTCCCTAGCTATATTTACCATTTACCAAATCAAGAGACACAATACAAAGCATTCATGCTCTATATAGTGAATAGCTTTTTTCTATCATTTTTTGTTGGTTTTGTTGGAGAAGAATTTAAAACAAACAGGGAAAGAATATAATGCCAGTAAAAATATGGTGGAGTAATTACTATACTTCAAAATATTTTAGAGGTAAGAAACCAAAACTTCTGCCCTACAGATAAAAATCTATGGTGTATGAACAAACCTCATAGTCTGTCAGACATGATAAAATACATCTCAAGTGCTCAAATATTGAACAATAATAATAACTAAAGAACACTAGTTAAACTAAACTGTCTTGGATAAGATTTGCTGCCACTCAGGGACAACTAAACAAATTTAGTCAACACAAATTGCCATGTCCTTGCCATCAGTGGCCACAGAGGCACTGTAGAAGGCCAGGGCACCAGGACTGGACCTTGGGATGAAGATGCTGCCACGTATTGCTCAAGGGGAAGTGAATTCGGGCAAACAGGACTTTGTTCATTCTTGTGAGTAAATGGGATTGCACCAACAACACCCGGTAGCTTCACCAATTGCCACCTCCTCAGAGCAACCTGCACCAATGCCCCATTCTGCTTCATCAGGCAATGGGGGCTGGTGCTGCTCATCCCTGAAAGAAGCGGTGCGAGAGAGGTGAAGGCGCTGGTGCCTCCTGGCCCTGGTTGTCACAAGGGTGGCAGGACATCGGTATCTTTGCTGTCATGGCACAGGGGAGCTGAGGTCGACTGGGGCAGGACTGGGAGTGTCACCGCTTGGTGTCACTGCCTGGTGTCACGCCAAGACTGCCGGGGCTTTGCACAACCCTGCTGAGCCACTCGCTATCAGTTAGATACGGTCAGCACTTGTGGTCAGGTCAGGGTAACCTGGGCAAAGTGAGCACAGGCGGACGGGGGAGCACTGCTGCTTCTGACCAGTGCAGACCATTAACAATTCCCAGCGCAGTTAATACTTATAATTTCATGCTTTCAGGTACCTCCATTTCAGCAGCCCCTGTCAGCGCAGTCAGGTGGGGAGGTGAGAAGGAAATGGGCGTTTAAAGTGGGCTCAGGGCCTGCGGCCACAGGGGCAGCTGTGTCCCCAGCCCCCAGTGGCGCAGCTCGGAGGCGTTGATAAAAAGTTGCTAACGCAACAGAATTGGCCGCCCCTGTCAGTAACTGCTCTATAAAAGGTGCTCCATCCCGGTGGCATCCAGTCCCTGCAGCATGAAGGGGCTGGTGCTCGTGCTGCTGGTGGCCCTGGCGGGTGAGTCGGCGCGTGGGCAACGTGGTGAGCCGTGTCGCGAGCTGGAGGGGACACCGGGGGCTGTCTGGGTGGCAGCTGCAGGTCCCCATGTGCAGCTGATGCAGAAACACGTGCAGCGTGCGGGGGCCAGGCTGTGGGGCAGCGCTGCTGCGGAACCGTGGGTTTCTCACACGTCCCTCTCTTTCCTCCCATGCAGGTGGGCAGAAGCGGGACCTGGGTAAGTGCGGCCTCCCGGCCTTGTGCCACAGCGCATTTCTCCCCGTTTGCACCTGCCTGTAGGCACCCCCTGCCCTTTTTCCCGCTTGTTTCTCACACGTAACATCACGGTGGTGATGGTGAGGGAGGTGTTTCACCTGTTCTCTTGACAGAGCCCGTTTTCCGCACCGGCCGGACCTACCGCTACAGCTACGAGGGGCTGGTGCTGCAGCGGCTGCAGGGCGGCGGGCCCGCGGCGGCCGGCATGAGGCTGCGCTGCCAGCTGGAGCTCGGCCGCCTGGATGGCACCCACCACGTGCTGAGGGTAACGCGCCGGCGCCAAGCACGGGGGAGAGGTGTCAGGGCTGCCTGAAGGACTTGGGGCCATCTCCAAGAGCCTTGGGGTCATCTCCATGCACACAAGACCGTTTAGAATATGTCCCCACTGGGGTTTTGCTGGGGAAACATTGCTGCAGCCGCCTAGGGAAATGAACCAGGGTTTGGGCATGTGCTGTCCGTGGTTGCCAGCCTGCTCTGTGGGCTGAGACCAGGCTTGGCCTGAAACCTTAGAAGCCCCGTGGTGCCCCCATTCCATTGCTCTTGGGGTTGCTCCAAAGGCTTCAGGCAGGTGTGGAGAGCTGCAGTGGTAACCTTTGCACCTGGAAGAGCTGTTTCTGACTGAAAAATATGGTCACAAACATCTTGACCATAAAAAGGGGGATTTAGAAAAAAACATGTAGGGAGCAGCTGTGGGAGAACACTCAACATTTAGCCTAATAGTTTATGGAATTCTGGGCATGTATTAAACAGCACAAGCAAATTTCCCTTAACCAGTATAACACAATTCTGCAGCTCCACATGCACTACAGCTTAGCTAGAGTTGCTGTTAACTTTAGCAATTAAAGGCAAAAGCCTTGAGCAGGATTTATGTTGGGAACTTAACATGGCAGAGGGAAAGGCACACTTGCCAGCAGTAACTATAAATACTTAGGATAAAACCGAGCCCTTAAAACCACACCATTCCCCTCTAAAGAGGAGTGTTTATTTGTGTGTATGAGAGCCAGAGGTACATCAATGTTTTTATGTATACAGTACATATATGCATATATAAATGTGCAGGCAGGCACACATTTCCCACTAGGTAGCAGCCAAGGACTTGCCAACAAGCTCTATAGCTTGATAGGCTTTAAATTATCAAACCCATTTCCAAATGAAAGGCCATTTCGTTCTGGGCTGTCTCCCTCGGGTCAGCTCAGCTTCCCCACCAGAGCTGCTTTGGTTTTGCTGCTTGAGGACATGCCGGGCAGTGAGCAGCAGCCCTAACAGTTCCTGTGTGTTTAGGGAGGCAGCCTGAGTCACAGCTTGCCTGCGCTTTTTAGACTGAAGGAAAAATCTAACTGCAAATACAGGGAAAGCAGAGAATTTCCCTTCCATACAGATTGCTAACAGCCACTGTTTCACTCACATGAATACTCAGTAAGATACACCAGGTTTGCAGAACTTTTGAAGATCATTTGCATTCTTTTAATAGAAATCCTTTATGGAAATTGTTTTTCCAAGACCTCCTCCTAGGACTTGCATAAGGAGTTAAGGGAGAAGGCATTTCCTGCAGTGTTGGACAAGTGCCTTGTATCTGGCCATGAACTGTAGTGTTCAGTTTCTTTCTTATAGCACTGTATCAAACTGATGACAAAAAATGTTGATTATGTTTTCGTAATTTTGTTTGCAGATTCAATCACCTAAGCTGGACGAGTACAATGGATTCTGGCCCAGGGACCCCTTCATCCCAGCATCAAAGCTCACAGAAACCATTGCTTCATGTTTCACCCAAGCCTTTAGGTTTGAATATAGTGAAGGAAGGGTTGGAAATATTTATGCTGTTGAAGACTGTCCCATTATATGTATGAACATAATGAGAGGAATTCTGAACATCATGCAGATGACCCTGAAAAAGTCACAAAATGTGTATGAAGTAAAAGAGGTTCGTTTTTTTCCATTCTTTTATTGTTACTCTCATTTCACAGTTACATAATAATGTGCCTGTACCTATACTTCCCAGGCAGTTTTCATTTATCTGTTTTTGTCTGTCATGAAGGCCTGTTCATTGTGTTTCATCAATACTCACAGGATGGAATTGAAGGCATCTGCCAAACCAGATATGTTATCCAGGACAAGCTAAAGAATAATTATGCCACCATATCCAAAAGCAAGGATCTAAGCGACTGCCAGGATAAAGCAGTGAAGAGCATAGGAATGGCTTACATCCGCCCTTGTCCAACCTGCCCCTTGGTATGAGCAGCACAAGTATATGCTACCAAACTCATCGTTGGCATAAGCAATTGTTAAATATACATCCACTGCACTGATGTTAATGAGGAATTTAGCTCATCTGTGATAAATTAACTACTGGCTATTCCTATTCATAAATGATTTTCTCTGCACTTTTAGAAAGTCAGAAACATTAAAAGCACAGTGATGTTCACTTACAAGATGAAGTATGATGACAGCGGGGCCGTGATGACATCTGCTGTGTCAGAACAGATGTATCAGATTGCTCCATTCAATGAACCTGACGGTGTTGCTGTCACAGAAGCAAGGTAGGATCAGTTACAGTGTGTGTCTGTAGGTGCAGCCCTAATTATCATAGCCACGATGAGGTGCTTAAAACATTTACTCAGGATGTGTGAGTTAAACAACTATCTTATTTCGCTGCCACTGGAAGGCTTTTTTTTAAGTCCTAGGCACTTTGGGGTTGGTTACTTGGGTCAGGCAAGTGATCTCTGCAACCAAATTCTTTTGTAATTAGCAGAGATGAAGTCACTGCATGGTAGCAGCCAATTTTCCTGAAGCCAAGCCTCTCGGGGGGAAAACTGGTAGTGTTTTACGACAGGTTGCATCCAGCCCACTGCATCTTCACTGCTGGTTCTTCACCTGGCACACCGCAGGGCTGCACTCCCGACACCCTGCGCTGGGCACAGTGCTGGGGAGCAGAGCCACCCTCCCTGGGCAGGAAAGCTGCGTTTTCTGGTGAAACCCGGAAAACCTTCACCTGGCCCTTCATCTGCCACAGCAAGGAAAAGCGGCAAAACTGAAACCTGAACCTACTGTTAAAGTAATCCTGTCAGATATTTCCTTTATTTTAGAACTGGGAAATTTATCCAATCTCTCAGTTATTTCTGCAATTTTTAATGAAATCTCCCACACTTCCCATGTTACTTCCAGATAACTTGATTTATGAACAAACTTGAGAAGTGCCTGATCCACTTGCAGTCAATATAGCTATCCTGTTGGGCAATGCTCAATGCACTCCAACTTCAGTTTCATATATCCACCACTCAGGTCAGTAGGATGTTAGTGATGCATTTCTTTCTTTCCCTTGAAGACAAAAATTGACTTTGGTTGACATTAAAGACACTCCCATAAGTCCCCCGGAAGTTCAACTGCACAACCATGGGAATCTCCATTACAATTTCTCAGGAGAACTACTCCAGATGCCAATCCATCTAATAAAGATCAAAAATCCAGAATTGCAGGTATTAGGTGCTCATTTTTCATACTGTTTCCTTGTTGGTAAGGTTAACAGAAAATAATTTTCGACATACTCTTTTATACCTTTTTTCCTCATAGTTAGCAGAAATACTGCGAAAATTAGTTCGGTATAATGAAGAAGGATCCAGCAAAGAAGCTTCAACAAAATTCTTACAGATGATCCAGCTTCTTCGTTTAGTGACCTTTGATCAAATTGAGTCTTTGTGGCAGCAATTTGCAAATAAACCTCTTTACAGGTAACTGCATTACTTTTCGCTAGAATTTCTGATCAGAGAAATACTGGGCAGTGGAGATAATGAATCCTCCCCTTCTTGGCAGGCACTGGTTTCTGAGTGCAGTGTGTGCTGCTGGAGCTACCGACACCTTCAAATTCCTAAAGCAGAAGATTCACCAGGAGGAGCTGAACCTCTGGGAAGCTGCTGTGACGCTCCCTCTTGCCTTCCATTTTGTTACACCCAATGAACAAACCCTAGAAATCGCATCAGTGAGTACAAATTCTTCTTAATTCCTCTGTTTTCCAGTCATACATTTTTAAAGAATTTTAAGAGAACGATGCAATGTATATTTCCTTCTAATAATGTAAAATTCAGGATATGAAGAAAAATTGGGTAGGCATTTTAGAAAATGTTTCCAGATACTTGTTACCAAAAATGTTTTAATGTATTTGTTATTGATACTGCTAAAAAACCCACAAATCTTAGGAAAATTGCCACTGATTTCTTTTTTTGCCAAAATATAAATTTTTAAAAAAATCAAGCAACAATCAAAAGTAAAAGAACATATTTTATAACTGAAACAAGAATACTGCTATTGTATCTAAAAGACTGGTGTTTGATTTAACTTCTAAAAAAATATGTAGGTAAAATACAAAATAATTTTCTCTATTTATTTCAAGGGAATGAAAGGGAAATGTTCACTGTATGCCAACTGTAGTAAGTAGGAACACTAAAGAATGCTACTTTTTACTTCTGCAGACTTTTATGACATGTCCCCAAATCAAAAAGACACCAATGCTTCGAATACTTGTTTACCTGGGATATGGTTGCATGGTAAATAAATACAGTGCTCAGGCTTCAGTTTTGCCTAAGGAACTTCTTCAGGTAGGTTGTTCTCACTTCATATTTTATAAGGAGTGAAGACATTTTAAAAACATCTCTAATTTAATTCTCATAATATTGGTAATTATGTAACTAGTTGTTTAGATGCCTTATTCTTGGCTGTGATTCCCTGCAAAATTGCAAAGACAGAATGAAACGACAGACTGATGTTTTCTAAAAATCTGGTCTTAACAGTCCAGAATTTCAAAAGTAAAAGCCCTTGGAGATAAAGGGTTCTGTACACAAACTTAAACAAAATTTATATAACATTTATGATTAAAGCAAGATAATTACAATTCTTCTTCTTGCTCTTACAGTCAGTAGATTATACCAAAAATCCATTACCAGACCTTCCAAAGCTTCACAGCTGCATAGTCAGTAGATTATACCAAAAAATCCATTACAAAGGCAGTAAAGGATGAATATAAGAAAAGCTCTAGGTATATTCTAAGCCAGACCTTCCAAAGCTTCACAGCTGCATATCACCATCAGAAACATTCACATCATTGTCCTGGGACTATGACACTCCAGTCCCTTAGTCAGAAGGACCACAGCACTGGCGTGGCCTGCTGGCATTGGAACAGGATTTAAATCTTCCCCAAAAGAGTGAAAAAAAAACAGTTCACCAGAAAAGTAATTTGTCTTATCAGAACAGCAAAGACCTTTGGATAAATCAGCTGTTGACATAAGAAATGATTCTGTGGCTGTGGCAGGTCCTGCGGGCATGTAGGCTGGCAGGGCTGATGGGAGTGGCACCAGGGCCACCAGGGTAGCCCTTTGAGGACACCTGCATTGGTCCAGTGCCACTCTCAAACTTGCAGTAGATTCCCTGGGGCAGGCATCTAGCCAGGAACATCTCCAAAGCTCAGGCTCAGGTAGAATGTAAAATCAGTTATAATACAATGTAAGGAAAAAGAAAAATGCTCACATATTTCATATTTGGCATCCTGATAATGATGGTGAGATTTTTCTCTGAAGAAAAATAAGAACAGCTTATCTCAAGGTTTTGCAGCAGTTGTAATGTTTGCTATGGCAATATGCATTTTTATCTATCATCATTAGATCATGACTGGAAGTGATTAACCCATTCTGCTCTGTTTTCAGCCTCTCCATGATCTTGCTACTGAAGCCGCCAGCAAGGGCCATGTTGAAGATATGTCCTTGGCTGTGAAAGCCATGGGCAATGCAGGAGAGCCAGACAGTATCAAGCGCATCCTGAAGTTTTTGCCAACATTTTCGCCTTCTGCTGCAGCATTACCAATCAGAATTCATGCTGATGCTGTGTTGGCCTTGAGAAAAATTGTCAGAAAAGACCCTGAAAAAGTAACTGAAACTATTATTTAAGCAAACGTGCTAGTAGATGTGATCTGGGTTAACTTTGTGATGCAGTGTTAATAAAAGCATGAGGTAATGTTAGTAACCTATTAGCAACCTGGGGAAGATTCCTAACTTAGTGACTTTCCTCTTGCCCATCTGCAAATTTCATGACATCACCTTGATGATTTTTGGAAACAAGGTTACTCTAGTTGCTGTCATGTTGCACCTGTTACTAATGGCTATTTTTTTCTAAACTTGTTCACTGGACACCCAACAATATCTTTGTTTTCAGTGACAGTTTCTTTGCTCAAGTCTCAGCATAGTGTTTTGTTCTCCAGTCAGTGCAGATCAGAAATTGGCTGTGTAAGAAGAATTTCTTTACTAGGAAATTACAAGGTACTCACAGGCTGTATCTTCTTTCTCTAGGTAAGAGAAGCCTTGCTCCAGTTATTTATGGACAGTTCACTTGCTCCTACTGTAAGAATGGTGGCCTGTCTTGTCCTCTTTGAAACAAA